TCTTTCTTTGCGTGAACATTTGGGCGGTGTTATGCAAATCTTCCCACATCGTGAAGTAGACATGTGGGGGCGTGTTAGAACGAGCCGTTTTAGGTAGGCGTGGTTGACTCATAACTTTTATAAAGAATATCTCTTTGGATTTGAGACTTTAGTCTTTGCAACTTTACAGATCTTCTTTATGCACCAAGAGCTTGTAACACTTCAAAGAGAAAGGAAAAATTGAAATCGCATCATATGACCCCTTTAAATTAATGTTAACCATAGACCTAATTTTACTCAATTTACAATAAAATAAAAATGTTATGTAAACTTAACTGGAAAACATCGCTTGATAATGCTAATTCTCTTCTGGGTTTTAGAACTTAAACAGCTGTGTTTGAATCTACCATCTAGCATCTCAACAGCCCACCAGGATGCTGTTATTATTTCAAATGCAAAGAGAGCATTTACATTGGAATCTTAAAGAGACAGCATCAAGATACAGGGCTTATAATTCCAGTCAGAGGCAGACCTGTTGGTTCTTTGAGGAATTTCAGTGCCTGGTTGTCATGGCAATTTTTCTGCATTTTCTTTCAGGTTGTGTAACCAAAATCAACACAAACCCCCTATTTTATGTAAATAACTTTAATGCACTTTAGGGTAACAAAACCACAGGCAGTGTAGTGATTCTCCAGAATATAAAAATGCCAGTACACTAATTAAATTCATCTTTCAAAAAGCACTAATAGAGGTTATTTTTTACACTTTGACCTATATTATTGAGCACATAACCCAAAAATAACAAATGCACATTCTACAAAATAGATTGCTGTCCAGGAACCAGTTAGTTTGCTTCCCTATAAAGAGGCTTGGAATGAAATCATAAAGTCAAATAAAATGAAGTTCAATACAAGTAAAATAGTTAACAAAAATAAACAAAAGAAAGATCAGGGAACGATTTCGTGCTTCTCAACTTTACATTACGAGGCTTAGAAAACACCCATTCTGTACAAGCTTTGGCTTTGTGTAGGTGAACTAACTAACCACCTATTGTTTGACAACTAAATGAAGACCTTATGAAATTTCATCAGCCTTAAATAGGTACAGCTATTTTTATATATGCAAATCAATAAAACCAGATACTCTGACTCGTTTTTTTTTTTTTTTTTTTTTTAACAAGGGCATATTCCTTTGTATGCTTACCTTCACATTACAAGCAGGATTTAGAAAAAAAAACTACTTTTCATTTAAAATGAAACTTCAGTTCATTCTAAGGTGAATAAAGGCACCAGTGCTTGCGCATTGTCTTGTGCTGCTAAACATTCAACAAGAAAAATATGTTTTTTGAGGCTAAGACCAGAAAAACAAAAACATCAAACACTATTATTTTCTCCTTAAAGGGATAGTTCACCCAAAAATGAAAATTCTGTCATTAATTACTCACCCTCATGTTGTTCCAAACCTGTAAGACCTTCGTTCATCTTCGGAACACAAATTAAGGTATTTTTGAAGGAATCTGAGAGCTCTCTGACCCTCCCATAGACAGCAAGGGTCCTTACACGATCAAGGTCCAGAAACGTAGCAAGGAGATCGGTAAAATAATCCATGTGACATCAGGGGTTCAACCTTAATTTTAAGAAGCTACGAGAATACTTTTTGAGTGCAAAAGAAAGAAAAAAAACGACTTTATTCAACAATTCGTCTCCTCCGCATCACTTTAGCACCATTTTGGAGAGTATCCACTGAACGTAAATTGCGTATGTTGTTCTGTCAGCTGTGCCACGCGGATACGCTGTTTACGTCGTTTATGCTTTGATTTGAATGAAAACGGCGTATCCACGTCGCATAGCTCACACAAAACAGGTTTGGAACGACATGAGGGTGAGTAATTAATGACAGAATTTTCATTTTTTGGGTGAACTAACCCTTTAAGAGTGAATAGGTAGACCAATGCAAAGACAAGAGGTATAACGGACAATACAAAATGTTGTATATTTAAAAAATTTTCTATGTCATGTGCAATTATCTACGATGCTCTCTGGGAAAAGGGGAAGTGTCTGAACGTCTGTTTCCTTCAGCCATCTGTAGGCACATGAGCCAGGCAAAAGAGTTGAGCTTCTTTCTGTAGTTGTGGGTTTGTAATCAGGGACAGTGAGCTCCCAGTCTTACTGCAGTGGGCTGTCAAACACTGTGTCTGGCAGGACAGAGATCTTTAGCTTCTTATCGGGCCAGCTGTACTCCTTCGGCAGCTTAGACTGGGTGAGAGCGTAAAGAGATATACAGCGTGTTAAAAACATTCAATAGTTTATCAAATCAGTTAAACATTTTAAGGGGACGTGTAAAATCCTACCACTTCACGGGTGCTCAAATCCTGAATGTCAGCTAGCATCTGCTCTACAAACTCGTCAGTAAGTAGTATCTAAATTGAGGAGATCAGAAGTCCCACACACATGGAATGACACTGAACTTTAAAGAAATCGTTCACCCAAAAATGAAAATTTGCTGAAAATTCACTCACCACCAGGCCATCCAAGACGATTGGAGAAGATTGTATTGGATGGAAGATTTGGAGTTTAGCATTACATAATTTGCTCACCAATGAATCCTCTGCAGTGAATGGGCTTCACTGGAGAAAGCAATATTACGGATAGAGTATTATTGTTATGTTATGTATTGTTAGTCGTGTGGATTATGGTTATGTTTTTATCAGCTGTTTAGACTCTCTTTCTGACGGCACCCATTCACTGTAGAGGATCCATTGGTGAGCAAGTGATGTGATGCAAAATTTCTCTAAATCTGTTCAGATGAAGAAACAAACTCATTTACATCTCGGATGGCCTGAGGGTGAGTAAATGTTCAGCAAATTTTCATTTTTGGGTGAACTATTCCTTCAAGGGATGTAATAGTAATGCATGACTGTTACCTGTAGCCATGGTCCATGCGCAGCATACGGATGCTCATCTGTGGCAAAGGCCCCTTCTACCCCAGTAGATACGAAGGTGATTGCCGTGTCTCCATTAATGCTTTTATATGTGAAATGTCGGCCATGAAGCAGACGACCTCTACAAGAAAAGATTAAAAAGAAAAACAATGAATTAATCATTTACACAGACATTGATAAGTGTTGTTAACACAAGCAGGAAATATCAAAGGCTAAAACTATAAGTAACCTGATGTTCACTTTCTTCCTGCTCTCATTTGGACTTTAAACAAAGGCACCGCTGTGAGCCTCGTCTCTGTTTCAGTCCAAACAAGAAGATTACATAAAACTCATATCCCACTCTTTTAGTGCCAGCAAAATCAGAGCTGTTAGCATTTCAGTGAGCTTGTTTGTAAAACTGTAATATATTGTAATATGAACAAAGTGCAAATCAGCAAACCAGTAGAAATTGTGCTATATTATCTTAAAATAAAGAATAGGTGGTTAACTTTGCATTGGAGCAATAAAAGTGGTAGCCTGTTCAATATGGATTTATATAGGCTACTATATGTCAATATTTTCACATTACTTTATATTCGTCACAAATACTATTTTTTAATGTATATTTTAAAATTCCTTTAATAAAACAGCATGCATTTCTGCGTGTTATTCGTTATCTTCTCTTTATTTTGACAGAGAACTACATGACGTGGAGAAAAGATATCCTTCCACGAATTAAGAAATCATTGCGTATTTTTATTAAATCCTTCATTTATTTCAGTAAAACGTGAGCACTGTATTATTTAGTTTCCATTATTTAACTAAAACAACAAACAAACAAAACCTGGCCACGATTTAGCCAATTCAATGAAACATGAAAAGAAGGGATGGATTAATAAAACGTCCTCACGATTAAACTCACAGGTTCTCTCATTATAATCAACAAAGTGCACACACAATGTAAATAAGAGAATCATAGTGCAGTTAGCTTCATTAATTATACTTAAATAATTGACAACTTCAGTGATTTTAAAAGGGGCCTTCTTTATTCCCTTTCATACAATACATTTAAAGGGATAGTTCACCCAAAAATGAAAATTCTAACATTACTCACCCTCATGTCATTCCAAACCTGTAAGACCTTCGTTCATCTTTGGAACACAACTTAAGATATTTTTGATGAGATCTGAGAGCTTTCTGACCCTCCATAGAGAGCAAGGTAACCACCACGTTCAAGGCCCAGAAAGGTACCAAGAACATCAACAAAATAGTCAATGTGACATCAGTGGTCCAACCGTAATTTTATGAAGCTATAACGACTTTATTCAACAATTCTTCTCCCCCAAGTTACCATCTACCGCCATTATCGAGAGTAACACGACGCATGCGTGTGCTTTCCTCTGCTCATAAACAAGGCGTAGCGCATGCGTGTTCTACGTCAGCAGCATCACGCGCATGCGTCGTGTTACTCTTGATAATGGTGGTAGATGGTACCTCGGGGGAGAAGAATTGTTGAATAAAGTCGTTATTTTTGATTTCTTTGCACACAAAACGTATTCTCGTAGCTTTGTAAAATTTTATGCAAATATTCCCACATAATGACCTAGATATGTGGGGGCGTGTTAGAACGAGCCGTTTTAGGGGGGCGTGGCAGAGTCTTAACTTTGATAAAGAATATCTCTTTGGTTTTGAGACTTTAGTCTTTGCAACTTCAGGGATCTTATCTATGCACAATCAGCTTGTAACACTCCAAAGAGAAAGGAAAACTTTAAATCGCATCATATGACCCCTTTAATGATAGAATTTTCATTTTTGGGTGAACTATCCCTTTAAGGTTTGAGTAAAAGATTTATTTATCATGCAGCTGCATTTAAATGCAGGAGTGAATCCGCTACATTATAGAAATGTATTATCGATAACCATATCAACAAAAATAGTACATTTTAACATGTGCAGATAAAAAAAATAAAAAAAAAGGTGTTTGGTATACATTTAAAAGGCCTCTGAACATTTTTTCCTATAACAATTATAGAAATATATTTATCTATTAATGTGAGAATGCTGCATACCTTATGCAAACAATATATCAGTTCTATATATCTATATTATTAAATCTCAGTTAATAAGTAGCTTTAGTAGGCTATTAGAGGTTAAAACTCAAATGACTATAACTAAAAAAATAACAAATTGTTTTCTAAATATAAATTACATTTTTTTAAAGAAGAATACTGAAACTAAAACTGATTACATCAAGTCTCGGGACAGTTTAATTACAGGTTTGCATGTATTCTCTGCGAGATTTGATGTAAAATGAGAAATACAGCATTCTTAATATTGCGATATGCTTTTACATTTGTAATGCCAAAGGAACTGCAACATTGCCGTGCACAATTAAAACAGTGCAAAATGAAAATAGTACCAAGCAGCATAGCATAAATTTGGAACAAAAGTTTGTGTCTCTCTCACAGACACGCATCTCTTTCTGCCATTTTCTGTCTCTCTCGCGGACACGCCACATCTCTCATGAAACAAAACTAAATGAAGCAGTTGTTTGAATAGTTGTTTCTCAGTGTAAAACAAGCTGACATGCAATAGCTAAAAGAAAAAAGAAAAAACCGGTGTAACAAACCAGTGTGTTTTAGAACTGCAGAATACACACAAATCTCTATTTATATATTTTAAATATTTAATATAGTTACAAAAAAAAAAAACATGCCCGTTTGTGATTTGAACCCGCGTCCTTGATAACTCTCTAAAAACCCATCTGTTCCCTTTTCCAGTAACATGTTTGCACATGCCAGAGAGACGTGCTATTCATTTCTCACTTATAAAAATAATCAGTGGCATCATGCAGATAATTTTTGTGTTTTATTATAGTGCAAAGAAGCTGTGTTCAAATGCTGATCTTTTATACATTTTTTTCCATAATGAACTTGATTGCCATGTGATCATGCTGCTTTTTATATTGTACAGAAGACAGCGCATTAGTTTAGAACTCTTTTCATTTTTATTTTTTAAACGTAGAGAGTTCCTTAATTTGTGCAATGATAACCTACCAGCAATTTAAATATGATTTTTTAATATTAGAATAAGTACATTACAATATAAATTTATAAGAACGAGTACATTATTATTTATGGGCTTAAAAACAAGATGCAAACAATCAGAATATTGTACCTGGTGGGGAGTGCCCAATGTAAACATGGAACATATACTAGGGGTTGACCGATATGTGTTTTTCAAGGCCGATGCCGATACCGATTATTACAGATCAAGTAGACCGATAACCGATATTTTGAACCGATATATATGTCTGGTGTAAAAATTAAAATTAATATCAAAATTAAGAATAACGGTTTTGAAAATGACCGATACAGATAATCATAAAAATGCTTAATATCGGCGCCGATAATCGGTCAGGCCGATAATCGGTCGACCCCTAACATATACCATTACCTATATTGTACTGTGGTACAGTTATGGAGGCCATTCATAATGCAGAGGTCAGCTGCCTGCTCTGCCAATAGTTAGAAATGGCACTATAGTGTGCAGTGTTTAATAAACAGCTGTTTTACTAAATTCTGCTGAGGTGAAACTCAGTGCAGTCCTGTATCGTGATACGTATTGTATCGTGGCCTCCGTATCGTGATACGTATCGTATCGTGACATTGCTGGTGATACATAGCCCTAGTGGGTACTGTACACTAAAAAAGTAAGCACACTACAGGCACTGCGGTCACTGTAATATTTCACGCAACAATGGTCAAGTAGCTGGAACATTAAACATTTATCTCATGAATTATTCGAGATTAAATGTTATAATGCTTTATTAGCCTATTATTGTAATATTACTGGTTTATTTCATTATTTGATATCTTTATAAGTAAAAATGTCACAGTTCCAGCTTTGAGCAGTGGTGCCAACCGTCCCTTTGCGCCACTTGGTGGTGATTTCGCAAACGAGTTTCACATGTGAAGGGAGTTTTATTTACCGCCATGGCCTTGCGGCGGCAGTACACGTGGCGGCAATAGGCATTTTGGTTGACTACCTACTGTAGATCTGCTCATGTTGCATCAGGTTTCTTTTTACGTGTTTTTTGCAGCACTGAGCATAATGACCAATCACATGTTTCTGTTGAGTTTCTAACAATGGCCAATCAGAGTGCATGCTGACTGACTAAATTCTGCAGTATTTGGCAAAGACAGCAAAAAATGCCCCTGGAAATTAACTGGAACTAAATTTTAATTGAATTAATAGAAAAGTTAATTTCTGACCGAGGTGAATTTCAAGAAAACATATGGCAAAAGACCCTTTTGTACGCAAGTACACTCCCTACAGAGTTCTGCCCTACCTGAGGCACAGTGGGAGAAGAGTCCCAGACTCCTGGTTGAACTTCAGATGCACGCTTTCCAGCTGTCGTGTTCGCACCAACTCGTGAGGGACGATAGCAGCTGAGCTCTCGCTCTCTAGACTGTCCTTACGGCTCCTGAGATAATAGAAGAGGGGAAAAAGATAAATATGGGTGTCCAGTTTGTGTCCAAGTGCCCAGTTTGAATATTTGGGCACTTAAGCCACATTTGAACTATATAAATGCCAATGCATTAGATAACCATGCTATAACCACGTTAAATCACATTAACTATGAACACGATACCCTAATGTTTAACTACCAGAAATGTTCCAAATACTGATAGTGCAATGATATTCATACATTTGTAGCTTAAGTGTCCAAATATGTTTTGAGGATTCTGTAAATTAGTAAACAAATACTGCAGAGTTTTGTGTTTCCTTATTGTTCTAACAAAAAGTAACTTGTAGACACTACCTAACACACATTTTCAAAGTGGAATAAAGAACAATAGTCTCCATAGCCCATTTGTTGGAGAAATAGTTTCAGTTTCACTCATAGTTGGCTCTTACCTTGATATCTGCTGGGTCTGGAAATGTCCAACTGATTGTCTATGGAGAAATTAGGGGCAGATTTGTACCACAGCGAAGTGAATGAATACATTTACCACTACTGCCAAATGGCAAATCAATTTTATTCTTTTCAAAAGCCACTTAGAAAGAAGTAAATGTCCCCTCTTTTAAAGAGATTGGGAGAGCTCCTTTAAAACCAGTTAAACTCTGCGGACCCGGATACGGGTCCATATAAAGAATTACACTCATATTTTGTAGTTCAAAGGGTTTTCTTTACAATGAAACCTTTTTTTTTTCATTTCCTCCATTGTATGTGTGCAGGGTAAACATTTGAATTTGAGTATGTTAAATTTAGGCGAAAATACCAAAAAACACCCCGAGCTTAATTAAATGAATCTGCATATTATTTGTAATTCTGGTAATTCAGTTGCTACTATAAGGCCTTTTAAGCAAAATATTAGACGGATGCATCAGTGGAGCAAGTGTGGCAAACACAGGTTGAGCAACTGCATACAGGATTTAAATCATTTTCATCAAGCCTGGTTCTGTTAATGGTTCTTTAACTTGCACTGCTGCTGAATCTATTGCGCGAAACATACATTGCTGACCAAAGTAGTCAGATTCTCAAACTAATTAATCTGATGAGCCAGTTCTTTAGTAAAACAAAACATATGAATCAATCAGAGGGGTAAGAAAATTAATCACGCACTGAAACGGCAAGTCATTACTTTCGTCATGACAAACTTGAAATTCAACACAACGACTTGATCACAAGTACTAAAAGAATTGTTAATGAAACTGGAATCGTTAAGAGGAATCCGAACCAGAATTGTTAAATTCTTTATGAATCTCAGTCATCGCAGAAGTCTGAAATCCTTTTCCTCTCCATAAAGAAAGTATGTACAGAAGTGAAGTTCTTTATAAGGAAACTGTCACTGTACATCATTTCAATTCAGCATTATGTTTTTTATTCATCATGATTATTTGGAACAGACAACACAACCAATTTCAGCAGACATTCAGGCTGAGCTCCTCCAGGATGTATGTCTGAATATCTGGTTGGGCTACAAGTAGCAGGGGGCCGTGAGCAAAACAAGGGGGTGCAGACAACGGGACAGTGAGATTAACCCAGACAAACCATGCACTGAGATGATCTGGAGTGCACAGCGTTTAATGAGATGAGGATGGAGTGCTTAAAACAGCCCCAGCTAACTGCTACCATCACAGCCCTAATAACAAAGATTACAGGCAAATCTAATAGCGCAAATAATCACGAGTCAAAAGCACATTGGTACTTGAAGCTAATTCTGTGAGCTAGTAACACTGCTGTACAATAGCAGGCCAGCTGGCAAGAGTCTGCACTCATGAGGACAAAGACTGAAGGGACAGGCTGTGTCTGAAAAATACTTGCAGGTAATTATCTACATATTGGACAGGCTTCTGAGCCGCTGTCAAACCAATAAATGATTTTGATATATATAGCGGTTAAGTTGAACCAACCAAAGTTCATGAAATTCATTCCTAACTCCGTTAAAAATTGCAGGCCTGTTTAAAAGCCATTTTTCAAATGTGCACCAAATAGGGGTGGGCGGCATGACTAAAATCTTATATAACAGTACTGCATCACATAACGGTATATATCATGATCAGCTAATTTTGCAGAGTTTTGTCACATTGCTCTCTTGCAGTACGCATTGGGTGTTTGGGTGCAGTATTTGGATGTCTAAGCATTAATTTTTGTGTCACCAAGTGAAACCTATGAATGCTGAAAACTCATTTGGACTGCTTGTTTTTGTTTAAAGGGTTAGTTCACCCAAAAATGCAAATTAGCCCACAAATTACTCACCGTCAAGTCATCCTAGGTGTATATGACTTTCTTCTTTCAGACGAATCCAGTCGGAGTTATATTAAAAATGGTCTTTGATCTTTCAAGCTGTTTCATGGCACTCAGCGGGTGTTGCATGCATCAGTCCAAAAGCACTTAATTAAAATGCGCCCATCCATAAAAAAAAAGTGTCTCACACGGCTCCGGGGGGTGAACAAAGGCCTTCTGTAGCGAATCGATGCGTTTTTGTAAGAAAAATATCCATATTCAAAACGTAATAATCACTTTAATGTAGCTTGCGCTCACTGTTTTACACTGGAAGCAGTTCCGGGGGAATGGATTCGTCTGACAGAAGAAAGTCATATACACCTAGGATGACTTGAGGGTGAGTAATTTATGGGCTAATTTTCATTTTTGGGTGAACTAACCCTTTAATAACTACAAGCAGTCCTAATGAGTTTTCAGCAATAATAATATTAAAGGGGTCATGAATTGAGAAATCAACTTTTACTTGAGCTTTTGATATATAAGAGATCATCATACTAAAAGAATATCCTGTAAGTTTCAGAACTGAAAACGTCCTTGTTACTGAAATAAAAGCTTTTATTCACACCAGGCCCAGCGATCGCCAGATCCTAGAATGTGCCTACCTATGACGTAATAGATAGGTTAAACACCGCCTCCACAGAAGAATATCAACACCTAATTCTGTAGCCCCGCCCACTGATTCGCGCATGACATAGTAGGGAAATAACGCTAAACCGTGGCACTAAACCAGATCGAGCGACAGAGCAATAAACATGGTGTTGAAGATCGCAAAATATTGTGCAGTGCCTGGTTGTGGAAGAACACAGTTGCTGCATAAGCTTCCTTCGGATTCAAATATTAGGAATGCGCAGTTGAACTTTATTTTTAATTAAGTTTCTGCTCATGTGAGTAAAACATTGAGCGTTTGTTCGCTTCATTTCACCGCGGATTCCTTTGTAAACAAGACACAGGTCGACGCTTGATTTGCAGAGAGACTGAGATTAAAAAGCAATGGTGTGCAGTCAATATTGGATCCGACATGAATGGCGCAGCACACTTATGCGAGTAAAAAATATTTGTACTATGTGTCACTATTGCTTTGTTAGAGATCGCTTGATATGTCCTGATTATGTGTACGTGTCTAACCAAAAAGTTAACCCTAACCCATAAAAACCGAGCGTTTATCGAGCCGGCCTCAAAACCAGGGTAGAACATAGACGATTACTTATTGATTTTGATGTTTTTGAATGTAAAAACCACACAAACGTCATAAGTGGACCTCAGACAACAGTATAAAATAATTTTAAAAAAGCCAGTTCATGACCCCTTTAACAGGCGTATAGACAATTTTTCATAAGGAAAAAGTCCCTCAACTAAAGCTGCACACTATATAAGGAACCAGGTCAGTTGGTATATTACCATAATATTAAAGGTTAAAATTAAAAGTATTAAATTCAATTGCTATTTATTTTTAGATATAGTAAACAACACTCAACTGAATTGTATACAATCATTTAAATTACACAAGCAGTTTTTATATAAAACTTCTAATAATTCTAATTACGTTTCTACTCCAATTCATTGTTGAAATATGAACATTTAAACAGTGGCTATAATAAAACATTTTCATGACAGACTTATTCAATCCTACATTGAACAAAACATAACCAACAGGTTCATTACAAATATAATGAATTTGTAATACTCTATAGTTATTTTATTTTTCTAGCTAACTATCAAGCTGTGATTGAACTGCTTTCCTCAGGGAAATGTAACATTACATTGTTTACAAGCTGTTTTACTGGCGTCTTCCCACAGTTGAAACATGAAACGTGATACATTTCTGTAAGATCCTTTCAACATACCTTCTGATATTAATTCATGTTTATTCCGTGACATAAGTAGTACTAAAGCTGAAGAGATGATCGGTTAATGGATTGGAGATGAACATTACAAATATTGATTAGTGCAATTTTGTGCAAAACATCAACTGAAAACAGTAAAGACTGACAGATCGATCTTGAAATTCAAATATCGATATTGGTTCAAAATGAAGAGATTAAAATTAAGAAATCAATACTGTCAATCCAGCCCTACCAATTTACCCATCTCCGCAATCATGCGCACAACAGAAATGTCTGTGATGTTACATTGCTCAACCACTGCAAAAAGGGCAATGGCAGTAGACCTACATGGACTGATCATCACTTTTCATGCTTCACAGCACCCATAATCACAATCGCGATCATTTATGTGATTAATTGTGCAGCCCTGAGTGCAATTAACAATATAGCAAAATCTCTACCTGGTGACACACTTTTCACACTATGTATATACAGTCAGAGCACCCAGCCCTGGCACCAAACATCTTTTGTCTCCTAGCCATAAACCATAATGATGCCATCCTGTCTAGTGGTCGACCGATATGGGTTTTTTGACAGCCGATACCGATGCCGATATCTTGGAAAGCAGTGTGGCCGATGGCCGATATAAAGCCGATATAATATTATTTATTTTAATTCATATTTAAGAAATTTGAAATCATTTGAAAATGGATTAAAATATAAACGTGTAAAATAAACATACTTATACTCTAGAAGACAAAGTATTTTTCACAAATAAATAAATATTTAATAAAAATATAATTAAAAAGGAAGTAAACACTGTAACCAACAGGGCACTCAGTATTCTGGGAAGTTTGTGTGCATTGGGAATAATATTTTTTCAAATAAAGCCAAGGTAACACTCATTTTACATACAGCACACAGTGAAAATGACATGAATATGAAAGCGGGCAA